TCAGAGAGAGAGAGAGAGACTCAGAGAGAGCGAGAGCGAGAGAGGTAAAGAAACACAGAGAGGACTGTTGGATTGTCATTGATGCTCATGGGTATATAATTGATTGTGCAATGATAGAATGTCTGATCCTTAGTAGTCTGCAAAGGCTCTGTGTACGTTCACTCCTCCTTTCCTGAATGTTCTGGCACACCACACGTCCTAAGGTCACGAGAGAGGTCGTAGCTTCTCTTTCTCTGTTTAGGTAAAAGTGCCTTTTGTTTAGGTGATCTGCTGGACTCAGGCACCAGCAGATCTAGGAGTCACAGGGTCACATCTTCACACACGGTACTCTGTTCACATACATGCCTGTTTGAGACGTCATATGTTAATGAACCTATGAATATTCATGTACCTCAATAAAGAGCAGTGCTACGGGGGAGCTGGGGTTGGAGCGGCAGGAACGGCGTTCGTCTCATTCATGTCCCTCGTGCACGAGATCACAAAGAGTTCTGCCTGCCGTCCCATGTTTGCTAGCTGCAGTAGAACAGTCTCAGCTGTTCCAGCAACAGGTTTGTGCCTGGACAGAGCTATCAGAGGGGAATGCCTAAAGGAAACTACATGACCTAGAGTCCTCTACATCCCCCAGAGACATAAACAGGAAACTCATAAGCACATCAAACTGAGACTAGGAACCATAGATCACCACAACAGCAAGTCAGCAGTCTAAAACACAGAGATTGGAGTCTGTGTAGAAACACAAAGACACAGAATCACAACACTGCTGTGTTCCTGAGGGGAAGACACACACACACACCCCTGCACGTTGGAGGATCTGCAGTCGAAGTAGTACCCAGCTACAAGTACTTGGGTACGTACCTGGATGGCAACCTAAAAAAAAGACTGCTGACCTGACAGCTGTCCGAAAGACGACCACTGACACCTGCACAAGGAGGGCAAGACACAGAAGGTCTTTGCAAAAGAGGCTGAGCATGTTAATAGAGAGGCGAAGGGAAGGAAAAGATGTGGTCGGAAAAAGTGATAATAGGGATAACCACACGAGAGGATTGTGAAACAAAATCCGTTCAAAAATGTGGGGAAATCCACAAAGACTGCAGCTGCAGTCAGTGCTTCAAGAACCACGACACACAGCTGTGTGTGAAGCCACTCTCGGACAACAGACGGCATCAGAAGCGTCTCCCTGGGCTTAAGACAAAAAGGACTGGACGCTGCTGAGTCCAAAGTGATGATCTGTGGTCAAAGTCAATTCTGCATTTCCTTTGGAGATCAGGCTCCCAGAGTCAGGAGGAAGACAGGAGTGTAAAGTTTCCAGTCAGTGATGGTTTGGGGTGCGAGGTCATCCGCTGGTGTTGCTCCACTGTGTTTTCTGAGGTCCGAGGTCAACACAGCCATAAACCAGGGAGTCGGCAGCAGGAAGCAGGTTCTTCCTGCTGCCGACCTACTTTATGGAACTGCAGATTTCAGGACTTGGCACCTGCACACAGTGCCAACGCTACCAGCACCCGGTTTAACCTCCTAAGACCCGAGCTCTTCCACAGCAGCATTTTTGATTTCTCTTTGATGTTTGGGCTGATTGGGGCCCGATGAATGTAAAAACAAAGAATTACCAGATTTATTTTTTTTTACTTTATTTTTGTTTTTATGAAAAGTCAGAGCCACATGTGAGGACATTTGTTTAAAATTTTGATAGAACAGTTTAACGTCCTCGTCAGTGGATATCAGGCCCTCGTAGAGCACAATTGAGTATTTTGGTCTAAATAACCAAAATGTCATGTCCACATATGTGGACGCCAGGTCCCAGGAGGTTAAGGACCTTGATCTTAATTGGCCACTAAACTCGCCTGACCTTAAGCCCATAGTGAAGAGGAAGATGTAATATGCCAGATCTAACAATGAAGAAGAGCTGAAGGCCACTATCAGAGCATCCTGGGCTCTCATCACACCGGAGCAGA